ATTGGAGAGCGTTTCGATTTGGGTTTTCCTTGATGAAATTTTTTGACTTTAGAGCTTCGAAATGCAGGAAAATAGGAAGAAGGTTTATGAGTTTCAGGTTAGTGGTTACTGATTCAGTTCATTTGGATTTTGTAGGTAGAGATGGTTTGACCCACAACATGTTGGATAACATACATGCTCACTGGAAGCGCCGAAGAGTGCAAGATTAAATGCAAAGGTGTTTGTAGAAGAAGAAAGAAAAAGAAAAAAAAAACCGAACCGGGCCGAAACCGAACCGGAAAAAAATCGAACAGAAAATAAACCGAACTGAAAAAAATCGAAAAAAAATTGAACCGAACTGTTTCGAGCCGAACCCAGCCCTAATCTGCATACCCAACAAGATTCTGGTCATTTGTGGATTTCTTCGAGTAGAGGTGGCCCATGTGTGTTGTCCCACAAAAGTATTGTAAAACATCTTTAACTCCCTTCTAATGTTGAATTGTTGGAGCAGAACTATACCATGCTAACAAGTTGACTAAAAAAAACTATGTTTGGTCTAGTGCATTTTGCTAAATACAATAAAGCACCTATTGCACTCAAATATGGTACTTCTAACCAAGGACCATCTCATCATCTTTTTTTGGGCGAAATGGATACTTTTAATGTCAAGAAACCGAACGTCCATTGGCATGCTAAGTGGATAAGCCTTATCCATGTCAAATTGCTTTAAGACTTTTTCAATCTAAGCTGATTGATGGATCAAAATTCATTAGCACAATGCTCAATTTGCAGGCTGAGATAATATTGTTTTGGGTAAATTACATAAAACTACGTCAACTATTGGGTCATTAACAATTTCATACCTCGTCTTTAAAAAGTTTCAATGTCATACCTTATCTTCGAATTTGTTGCAATGTCATAACTCCCGTCAGTTGTCTATTAATTCATCTGTTAAATGTTGACGTGGCTTGAGACGGGGCCCATTTTCTATTAAAATAATAATTTACCCTTAAAAAAAACCACACATATCTTCCCCGACCCCCTCCCCTTCCCTGCAACCAGATCCCTTCCCATTCCCCTTCCCTGCAACCCCCGACCCATTCCCCACCCACGCTAACATCTCCACCCGCCACCACCTCTTCCACCCCGCCCCCGACCCCTTCCTCACCAACGCAAATAGCTCCAACCCTCCCCACCTTCCCCATATCCTCTCTTCCTGCTTCGAATCCAAACCTTTAAGCTCTTTCACACTCGAAAGCACCGTCAGCAACGCAATCAAATACCCTTTTACCCTTTCCAGCGAGAAGTTTTCCCCAACGATAATCTGATTAATCTCCCCAAAACTCTCCTTAGTCCTTTTAATCACCCCAAAATCTCCGAGTTCGACTCCTCCCACAAACCCTCATTCAATTTCAAAAATGTTTGGTGGATTACAGATCCCTACGGCGGGATCACAGGGCCCTGGAGCTATAGCAGCTATGGAGGAGATGGGTGAAGGTGAAGGGCGAGGATCGAGTTAGAGCTATTGGCGAAAGGCGAGGATCGAGTTGGAGCTGTTAGGTGAAGGCGAAGGGCGAGGAGGCGGGGAAGGTTGGAGTTGTTGGCGTGGGTGGGGAAGGGGTCGGGGGCGGAAGAGGTGGTGGCGGGTGGAGATGTTGGCATGGGTAAGGAAGGGGTCGAGTGTTGTAGGGAAGGTGAAGGGGAAGGGGAGGGGGTCGGGGAAGATGGGTGTGGTTTTTTTTTTTAAAGGTAAATTATTATTTTAATAATTTTTTAATAGAAAATTGGCCTTGTCTCATGCCACGTCAGCATTTAACAGATGAACTAACAGACAACTGACAGGAGGTATAACATTGCAACAAATTCGAAGATAAGGTATGACATTGAAACTTTTTAAAGACAATGTATGAAACTGTTAATGACCCAATAGTTGAGGTAGTTTTATGTAATTTACCCTTTTGTTTTCCTAAGGTTTTTCATTTTAAATTCGTTTTTCAAATATTCAGCAATATTGTTGAGCTCTTCAAGAGGTCCAATTCATGTCATTGACATATACTGCTATTATAGCAAATCCAGAGTTTGATCTCTTAATAAATACACAAGGACAAATGACATTATTAGTATACCCTTCCTTATTAAATACTCACTGAGACGATTAAACTACATTCATCCGTATTGTTTCAGTCTATATAATTTAATTTGATTGAGAGCATACCTCGTGGTTTGTTAGTCGTTTCAGGCAACTTGAGTCCTTCTGAGCCTTTCATATAGATATCAGTATTTAATTCTCCATATATATATATATATATATATATATATACACGGTGATAACATCCCTAAGTCGCATATCAAGTTTTTTCTGAAACCACCAAACTTATTAAGTAACGGAATGCAATTGCATCCATTATAGGAGAGTATGTCTCCTCATAACCAATTCCAGGGCATTGTAAAAAAACCTTGTGCAACGACCCTTATATACTGGTCCAAAAACACTTCGCATTTCCAAGGAATTTAATTCTACCTAGATTGCATCTTTCCACTTAGGCCAATATTGTCTCAATTTGCATTCATCAACAAAGCGAGGCTCAATATCATCGTTTCATATGATTTCAATGGCTACTGGGAATGCGAACACGTCGTCGATGATTATTTCATTTCGATCACACAATTCATTATCACATGCATAATTTATGGAGATTTCTTTGCTTTCATGTACTTCTGTCTCTTCAGGGATATTTTCTTTTTCTGGAAGTACAAAATCCTGAATTGTGGATTTGTCATTCATTTACTTTTCATGAAGGATTTCATTTGGATTCAATTGTGCATTCATCTTTCTCTTTTGAGAAGTTGAATCATATGAACCTAGGGTCTACCACACTTCAGGCGTGCACTAGATGAATCATTTGTTGCCACTTTGTTTTGTCCAATAGGGACATCAATTCTTGCAAGCACATTTGCAGCTAGTATATGTGATTTTGTCACTTTTGTTGCATCATTAAATGTATTTGGTATTTGATTAGCAATACTTTGAAGATGACTGAATATTTTCACTTTATTTTCACATTGAGTGCTTCGTGAATCAAAATGAGACACGGTGGGTACATCCCATGTTAATTCTCGTCATTTTTTTGGAACGGTCTTTTCTCCCTAATGGCAGGAAAATTGTCTCATCAAAATTACAATCCACAAAACAAGTGGTAAAAATATCACCTGTCAAGGGTTCCAAATATCTAATGATAAATTGTGAATCAAAACCCACATAAATTCCCAGTCTATACTGAGGTCCCATTTTAGTACGTTGTGGTGGTGCAATAGGCACATAAACAACACAACCAAAAAACTTGTAAATGTGAAATGTTTGGTTGATGCCCAAACACGAGTCGTACTGAGAAGTATTAATGGTTGGCAACAGGTCTTAGTCGAACTAATGATACAGCATGTAAAATGGCATGTTCTCATGCAGAAACTGGCAATTTTGTTTTTATGAACAGAGTGCGAACTATTAATTGAAGTCGCTTGATAAATGTTTTTGTTAAATCATTTTGAGTATGGACATGAGGAACATGGGTGTTCAACATCATGCCTAGTGTCATGCAATAATGATCTAAAGTTTAAGATGTAAATTCATTAACGTTATCAAGTCGAATTGACTTAATAGGATGATTTGGGAACTGTGCTTGTAATTTAATTATCTGAGCAAGAAGTTTCACAAAAGCTACATTTCAAGTAGACAAGAGGCAAACATGTGACCATTGGGTAGATGCATCAACCAAAATCATAAAATATTGGAATGGCCCACAAGGTGGTTGAATAAGCCCACAAATATACCCTTGAATTTACAAAAGTGATGAGGATTCAGCATTAATCTTTGATTATGATGGTAGAATTACTAACTTCCCTTGAGAACAAGCCTTGCAAGGGTTATCATTTGATATAGCAATATGTCTGCTCAATAATGTATGTCCATTAGAGTTGGTAATGATCCTATGCATCATGATGGATTTTGGATGACCTAGATGGTCATGTCAAAGCATGTAAATTTTTTTATCAATGAACTTTTGGTTCAGGCAATATGTGCGTCAATTGTCTTTATGTATACATAATACAATTCACTCGATAAACCACGCAACTTCTCCAATGCATGCTTCTAGGTATCATTGGAAGTAATGCATTGATATTCCACATTTTCTGCACTTATCGTTTCAATGTCGTATCCATCCAAACGTATATCTTTAACACTCAACAAATTTCGAGTAGATCGAGTAACATACAATGCATTTGTATGGACAACATTATTTCATTTGGTAACATGACCTGGACTTTTCCTAAGCCTTCCATTACATCTTATTTTCCTAATATTGTTGTTACCTTTACTTTTGTAAGCATCAAGCTTGAGAAATATTTACAATCTCGAAGTATTGTATGTGTGGTTGCGCTGTCTGCAAGACAAATATTTATGTCATTACGCTTGCTTTGAGAACAACAATAGTTTTTATCCATGCTTTTGAGCAAGAGAATAGAGCTAATTTATTCATAATAAAAAAGAAATTACAATGCCACTTTTTATTTAATTGAGATACAAGTTTTAAATGACAAGTTCATATAATAAAGTAAGAGTACATTAAGCATAAAATTTAATCGGACCGATATACTTCATTCCCTCTTTCTGCAACAAAGTCTAAAACATCTAGATGAGTTGTGTTCAATTGGCATGATAAATCGAACATTGGATCAGATATATCCATTGGTTTAGCATGGTCTATGAAATTGGTTTCAACATTCTTTTCCTTAAGGGAAGCTTAATACAGATCTATTAGATGTTTTGAGGTACGGTAGGTATGCACCCAATGCCCATTGCCACCACACCTATGGCAAACTCCTTCAAGATTTCTAGGAGTGTTATTTATATGAGCTTTACCCTTGTGGCGATTTACATTTTTTAAGCTCGGGCCTGAATTATGCCTTGGACCCTAGTTGTAAAACTAGACACCATGGTTTTTGCCCTTCCCATTCCATTGGCCTCACTTGTGGCCACGTCTTCGTCTGTAATTATTGCTATGAGAGAAGGTGGTGTTTTTTTTAAGAGAAGCAGAATTCACTTCTGAAAATGGAGTCAACCCAATTAGTCGAGACTGATGATTTTTCATCAGTAGCTCATTGTTTTGTTCAATCACCAGGAGCACTGATATCAACTGGTTGTACTCAATAAATTCTTTCTCTCTATACTGCTGCTGCAGGAGCACGTTAGAGACATGAAAAGTACTTAAAGTCTTTTCCAACATATCTTCCTCAGTGATAGCCTCCCCACAAAGTTTCATTCGGGAGCTAATTCTAGACACTGTAGAGTTATACTCAGCAACCGTCTTAAAATCCTGGATTCTCAAGTATGTCCATTTATAATGACCTTTTGGAAGAATCACTGTTTTCTGGTGATTATATATGTTTCTCAGTGCATCTGAGAGAGTTACTGGATCTTTAACTGTTATATACTTGCACTTTAATCCTTCATCAAGGTGGCAACGAATAAAAATCATGGCTTTCGCCCGCTTGAGAGGATGCATTGTTTCCCTCCTTGATGGTTTCTCCAAGATTTCCTGCCTCCAAATAGATCTTGGCATCCACTACCCAGGTAAGGTAGTTTTTCCCAGTGATATCTAGGGCAACAAAATCAAGTTTTATCAAGTTCATCATTTTTCTGAAAGAAAAATGAGATGTTTAAGAACTTGCAATAATATGAATTCTAAAGGAATGTAGTGTTAGGACTTCTAGTTCTTACAAATTTTTCATTTTGAACTTTAAGCCAAAATTATACACACTGGAAACTTCAAACTCGAGATTTACATAATTTAAACATTAATAAGCGATTATACCGCACCACTTAAACAGCATGAATATGCAGTGCAGGATGGGCGATTATACCGCACCACCTAAAATTGCAGTAAAATTAAATATGCAGTTCAAGATGGGAGATTGTACCACACCATCTAAAATTGCAGTAAAATTAACGTAAATAAACACTAGGTTAGCAATCAGGAGCTACACTAAACAAGAAATCAAAAATTAAACAATTGTTAAATTAAGGACTAGGAGAAGGCATGGTGCTAGCAACTCCTGGCAAGGAAACACCAAGCAGGTGAGGCAGAGAAAGAACAGGAACAATAAGATCCTTGGAAGAAGCATTTTGGGCGAAGGAAATGAAAACTGACTAGGGTTAGAGAGTCGTATTGATAACATATTATAAATAGGTAAAAAGTGAGAGATTTGCTAGAGATAGAAACGAAACAGATGCAGTGTATCACACAAAGTATGTAGGTAAAAGAGAGGAGGGGGATAATGGTATTATTGTATTTCACTCTTGATTTGGTGTGTTGTAATGAGGTTACAAACATCCCTCTATTTATAGGGATTTTCATCCGACAACTTCTTTACATGCATGGAGAAAAACTTACTATGCTACAACTTTTACTAAACACAAACTTACCGCCTTAGGACTTTTACCAAAAACTTTAAGGTTGTCACTAAAAGTCTAACTTGGTTTGCTACCTTACATTTGGGGCATTCACACTAAGTTCCATATCACAACCTCCCATTTTCACACACCATTTATGTATTATTTATTTTAGTGATATTGTTAATCCATAAGAAACATTCCGCAAGAAAAATTTTGTCAGAAAGGAAATTGTAATCGTGACAGGAAAAACATGAAAGAATATGCATCATATAGGAACGGCGCACCACAAATTTTGGAAGTAGCTGCCCTGTGTTTTTCTTAATATTTAGACTTTTTAGCCAAAATAGTCTCTAAGATTTGCATAACTTATCACTTTGGTCCTCGAGATTGTCTATCATCAATCATTTCTATTTTTCTGTGAATCATTATGTTAAATAAGGATTAAAATGACAAAAATACCTTTAATTTAATAAACAATAGGCCAAAATGATTTGACAAAAATTAAGGATATTTTTGTCATTTTTGTCATTTTATTCTTATTTAATAGAGATTTTTCACGGAATAATGATTGATGGTGAACAATCACGTTGACCAATTCTATCGATTTCAAATATCAAGAACCAAGGTGATGAGTTATGCAAATCTCATGGACCATTGTGGCTAAAAAGTCTAGTATTTACAAGGGTTTGGTTAAAACTCATGAGAAGTGGAGAGAAGCATCTTTTATCCTGAACTGTTTTTTAGAACCCACAGCCCAGACAAACACATGCACAGAGGCATGCGTAACTCACCACATTCAAGGCTGAAGCATACGGTGAAACCAAATATCTTCGACCAACGGTGGGATATCGTATGCGATATGGCAGATTGCACCAGCTACGCCCGATCAGTTTTGTTACTCTTAGAGCTCCAGATACGGAGATAAACCACTCCAAACATAAATTTATTCAGACAGTAGACTATAGACATCGTAAACACTTACGAGAAAGATAATATGTTTGGCATTAATACTACTTAGAAGAGACTACAGAAGCATAATAACCAAACCTTGAAGAAGGGGTAACAACATTTAACTTATCATGCTAGAAAACCGCAACAAGTAACACATCAAATCACCATATCATGCTAGAAAACATACGTAGTATGTACAAAAAGAGAGGGTACCGCATGCGATCAGATATTGTCAAGAATTTAAACTACAACATTACGAAGTTATTCATAATTCTATCAAAAAGTCATTATAAGAAATGAGCTCCTCCAAAACTTAACTTGCATCCAATAAGTAGCGAATCAAAATTCCACTTGTTCCATATCAGCGAAACTTGAAACCTGCAGACCCTTTCAATGGATAATTAAACATGAGAATATGCTCGTACTGGTCATACACTTTACTATTGAAAAGATACATAGCAATCATAAAATGGATCTACTTGCTAACACTTGTCTTATAGTTTCAACCCGCAATTTCAAATAATTTATATGACACAATAGATTCTTCAACTTTCAAGACAGTAACATAATCCTAAACAGATCAAAGTGATTAATGAATTGTGGCACAATTTGAAGCAACACATCCATTCTTTGTTATTGAAAATAATCTAATGTTTTGAAGGATTAACAATTACAGCTTCTGAAAGCATAGGCCACAGCCACCCCAGGGGGCAGCAGTCTTTCATGCGTAATCATACAGTAGGATACTTCAAGAAATTGCATTCTTATAGCAGTTAATTTCTGGTCTATAGCATGAAACTGCAGAAAAATAAGTGTGTGCCTCCTCTCGAAATATACAAATGCACCTCCGAATTTCTATTCCCTATCATACCCATAAAACACATACAAGCGAGAGAACATTCAAATAAAGAGAAATGATTGCTGAGAAAATTCAGAAAAAATAACGGGTACTGAAACTCACTTACCTGCCTCAACGGTGACCAGCAAGTCTCTCAAAAGTCTTGTTTAATTGAAGCTAATTTTAGAAGAACAAAGGACAATCAAAATCGTGGTTCACGATTCCAATTCCCCTTTCTCTGCTATCCCTAACCGAAATGAAATGAAATGAAGTACAAAAATCACAGGAGAGAGAGAGAGACAGTCCCAATACCTCTTGCTCTCTCACTCTCTCACTCTCTCTTAAACTTGCTCTCTGTGTTCTCGTCTGCGACTTCTAGGGTTAACGGAAAACACAATACATTTGTTGCTTATGTGTTAACTCTTAGTGAAACAGGAGATAAGAGAAGGATATTAAAGTGGAACAATAGATTACTAGCAACAATCCCAGCCTTTTTACTATAAATATAATTAGATCAACTATGAATAATATACAGAAAGTGGTGATTATGCTAGCTAAATAAATATAATTAAATGCTTACTTCCTCTCTGAGGAAGTCTAGAACTGGTCTATATCCATCCTGAATTTAAACCTTCACAGAATACATGGACATCTAGACAAGCATACCTGATGAGAGGTATGGCACTTTTTAAGCAAACTTGAGCCTGATTATCTCAGCGCATCTTTATCTGTTTGTTAGAAAATAAGCTGAGGAAAAAATCTGCTTTTATTACCACTTCAGTGCTCAAACTTGACCAGAAAATTTGTTTTTCTTGACTTCACTAGTATCACCAGCTCTCAAAACTTGTCAGATTGGAAGCAGGAAATGCATGATATAACATGGGTGGTGCTATACAAACACCCATTTTTACCTCTCACACGCCCGTCTCAATTTCCGGCTGTTAGATCGAATGAATTGATGAAGATCAATGGACGAAAATTACAAAGGTGTGTGAGAGGTAAAAAGGGGTGTGTGAATAGCACTACCCTATAACATTTAGGGACCCTAACATTTAATTAAGACTCCGAAAGAGAGTACTTAAAACAAAATTCCTACTTATAAAAATTCTGCAAGATGTTTCAAACCTTACAAATAAAGAAGATCACATTTGCCTAATAACTACTAACTGCACTGAGTTCATTGTGATTTCAAATCCATTTGAGATTTTGAATGCATATATTTGGCAGCTTTGCATTCACAATAAATGGAGTATTCTCTCTATATTACTTACGTATTCATCAAAGCATTGCAAAAACACAAACAAAATGAAAGTGTCAACATGTATCAAATGGACATGGAAGCAAGCTGACGAAAATAACTTATAAAACGGACTAACAAGAACAATTTTTTTTTTCTATTTTCTGGTCTCAAATGACTACATTATCCAATTCATTGATTCTGGATGGATCACAAGCAATTACATGTGCAACAACAAGAGAAAGTTAAAGGAACAAATACCTTTTAATTTGTATACAGATCTCATGCTACAAAACATTAGCTTCCTCTTAATGTAATCTTTCTCTTACCAAAAACTAATGGACTATCAAAACATCAACAAATTTGTAGCTGTCCCAACAACAAAAGGCTCCATTAATAACCGAGTCAAGAAGTAAAAAACAACACCCAAAATGATAGATATGGGCAGAGCCGGCAAAGCTCGATGGTACACTGACAACAAAATAAGAGTGCACCCAAGTCCCGAAATAATGGCAAGATAACAGGCATACACAGTCATAAGGTCATACATTGCAGCTCTGCCCACAAGAACACTGTAGAAAACGAAATCCCCTAGACCAAGTTTAATACCTTTACTGAACATTTCGCTACCTTCCCTCCTCGATTGCTCTCTCTCATTCTCCAATACTGTCGTTTCAACAAGAGGAGACATTTCCTCACTAATAATTTCAGAAGCCCCACTGCCATATTGTGTAGCTCTATCGGACTGAACAATCATACTTGAATATCTTGAAGAACCACTACTTGGCGACGGCCTACCCCATGAATTATCCTCCAATAGTAATCTCTCCCCTTCATCTCTATTACCCTCACCTTCCTCGTTCGCGACCTCAACATCAACAGCGGTATACTCAGAATTACCACCATTTTCATTCTCATTTTGATTCCCATTGCCCCTGGGGACTGCCTGAAGCTCCACAGACCCAGAATCCGAAACCCCAGCAACCAAAAGCTCCAAACCGGTCCCACGACGCCCAGAATTTGGCACAGTTGGGCGGGCCTCGTAAATCAAAGCTGGGAGCTCTTCATCCCGGCTAGAGGCCAACTCCACCAAGAGCTTAAGTGGGCCGCCCGGTGCCAGCACGGCCACCAAATCATAGACGGCCAGCGCCACAAGCAAAACCCAAGTCGTCCATTCGGGCAACTTGGTAAACCAAGCCGCCACAATAATCCCCAAAGAAACCATATAAGCTTGGCGTAGAAAAATGGGAACACCGCCGGAGAAGACGGACAAGACGCCCACAACAGTGAAATTGAAAAGCAGCAAAAAGCAAGTAATGGAGTCGATGGGTATGGAGAAATGCTGGACAATGGACAAGAAAATCGAACCTCCCATGGTGCCCAGCACGAAAAAGGCGGAGAAGCGCATGTAGTTCTTCAAGAAGTTGGTGAAGTTGTAGTAGTAGAGGAGGACGAGGAGGAAGGTGACGACGGCGATGAGGACGACGAAGACCAGGGCGTTGAGGAGGGCGCCTTCGAGCTTTTGGGCGGCGGAATCGGTGGGGGTCTCGAGGTAGACGAGGTTGGCGGCGGTGCGGATCGGAGGAGCGGAGGCGGAGAAGGGATTGGAGGGAGAGAGAGCGTAGACTAAGAGAACAACAAGAAGCATGCAGATCGAGACTGGGGACATGACGCCGATGATCTCGACGCCGATGGACTCTAGGATGCTCGACTCCATCCTGGGATTTCGACGGTTGGGGCTTTCCGTCGAGCACTTGGTAGGCGTGGAGCTGTGGGTGTGAGTTTGGTTACCGCATTTTCCTTTCGTGGGAGTTTTAGGTTAAATTATAAACCACAATCTACAAATAAAATAAGCACTCAGGATATTCTAACTTGTGGCGGACAAGTTACCACTCAAAATTCTCAGTACGTAATTTCATGATTATGATTGGAAATGATCATTTAATAGATAATTCTGTAAAATCTGTTTTTCAGAAGAAAATTGTTATTAGTTCTTCGAACATCTTAAATAGATTATTCGTTTTAGTCAGTTAAATGCAACATTTGAGTTGACTCAGCAATAATTTCACATAATTGAGTCTTTCACTTTGTAGATCAAGATCATCTTTACAAAACTTCATCCAAATCAGAATGTATTTTAGAATCGGTTTGATTCAAAAAAATTTAAAAATTGAATGTAAAATCAAACCAAACGAAATTAGGCGGTCTGATTAGTTGGGTTTTTTTTATTTTGTTGGCAGAAACACACCTCTCCACCTAGTTATGACTTCAAGTGCATGTTTTGATAAAATTTTGGGTAAATTACACCAAATTACCTCAATTATAGGTCGAAGCACAATCTCATACCTTATATTTAAAAAATTATAATGTCATACATCATCTTACGAATTTGTCACAGTGTCAGACCTCCTTCAATTTTTATGTCAATTTCTCTGTTAAATGTTGATGTGGCTTGAGACAAAACCTACCCATAGCCCAACTAGATTAAAATCTTCATTCAATATTAAAAATTAAAAATAAAATCATTTAAATATTTTGGTGCGTCCCATATTTTTTTATACAAATATTTAAATGATTTTATTTTAAGTTTTTAATATTTAATTAATTTTTTAATTCAATTGGGTCAGGAGTGGCCGCGCTCAATCCACAAAAGCATTTAGTAGAGAAATTAACAAAAAAACTGACGGAGATCTGATATTGCAACAAATTTGTAAGATGACCTATGACATTGTAATTTTTAAAATATAAGGTATGTGATTGTTGTTTGACCTATAATTGAGATAGTTTTGTGTAATTTATCCAAAAACTTTTCAGCTGCAATATAATAAGAGAAATGACTTTGACACACAATTTTCTGCCTCTTACACACTTATGTTTACTACTAATCCTTAATTTCGTTTGATTTATTTAGTCTCCAACATGTTGGATAACGAACTACGTTTGCGAAAATTTACTATGCTTTTGTTTATGACATGCACTAAATGAAATAAAAAAAAGTTAGATGTGCAGCCAAGAATTCATCGATCAACGACCAGTGCCACTGTGCCAGGGCGCACTAAATAAATCCGATAAGTTTGTAGGAGCAAAGTAGAAATACCAGAAGTTAGCGGGTCACAACTACAGTCAAGAAGAAAATTGCAGGTTTGGTTTCCGCAAGACAGAGGCCCTAGGGTTTAAGCCAAGGTTTTTGCTCCTGTCGTCATCAACCTCTGTTGCAGTCGCACCTTGCTCCGAAAACGGCAGCGTTTGGCTGTTGAACTGCCATGGCAACCATTCAAGTAAGCTTTTAAATTCCTCTTTCTCTCTATTACTAGGGTTTATTCAATCACTGTTAATGCTCTTCTGTCGTTAGTTGATGAACAATCAAACCCAGAAAATGACCTAAACTCTTCTACTCCCAATTCCAAAATGCATCGACGCCTTGCCATTTTTACCCACCAAGTTCTTACAAATTCCAATTCTATCCTCCCCACCACCACCAAGCACAACAGCACCTTCTTCCTCTGCTCCCATTTCAACCCCTCATGTCACAGGGGCAATGGGTTCGCCTCAATTCGCTTACTTTCGTACTCTCCTGTGAACCGCCGCGTACCTGATCCCGAAGACCCCTCCAATTTGATAAAAGAAGATGGCGTTTCTGTTTTATCCCAAATGTGGATTGAGAATTTTCGTGAACCTGATAGGATTGTGACTAATTTGTCCTCTTACCTTCGCCGATTCGAGTTGTGGGTATTGGCGTACCAGAAGGTTTGCGCCGATGAGATGGGTGCGTATATGCCCCGCAGTGAAATACAGAGGTCAGCGCTTGAGGACTTGTTAGCTCTTCGTAATGCTGTTCTTGACAGTAGGTTTAGGTGGGGTGCTAGACTAGAGTTCTTTATTAAATCACCCAAGGATAAGACTGAATACGAGTCTTTGTCTAAGAGGAAAATTAAGGCCATTCTGACAACTACACAACCGGCCCCATTTCAAGATAAGTTAGTGCAGGAAGTTCTGTTAATGATTTTGGAGCCAATATATGAGGGTCGGTTCTCTCAAAAGTCATTTGCGTTTAGGCCAGGGAGGAATGCACATACAGTGTTGAGGGTGATTAGGAGGAGTTTTGCAGGGTACTTGTGGTATATAAAGGGCGATTTGAGTACTATCTTGGATGGGATGAAGGTGGGTTTGGTGATAAATGCTTTGATCAGGGATGTGAGGGATAAGAAGATCATTGATTTGGTGAAGGCAGCGTTGGTTACACCAGTGGTTACGAGTAAGGATGATGGAGTGGAGAAGAAGAAAAAGAAGAGAAAATATCAGAAGAAGAGGGTGTTGGCGGAGGATGAGCCGAAACCAGACCCATATTGGCTGGAGACTTTTTTTGGGTTTGCACCTGAGGAGGCAGAGAAGCTTCCTTCTTGGGGCCATTGTGGGATACTTAGCCCCCTTTTGGCTAATGTTTGTTTGGATGAACTGGACCGCTGGATGGAGGGGAAGATTAAGGACTTTTATCATCCGTCAAAGAGTGATGTCATATGGAATAGCCCGGAAGGTGAAGCAGAACATGGAAATACATCTTGGCCTGAATTTGTGCCAACAAGTGGCCCAGATAAGACCAGAAAGATGGATTACATTCGATATGGTGGTCATATTTTAATTGGTGTTCGAGGACCTCGATCAGATGCTGCCACATTGAGAAAACAGTTGATTGAGTTTGTTGATCAGAAGTATATGCTCAAGCTTGACAATGAGAGCCTCCCTATAGAACACATAACAAAGGGCATAATGTTTCTAGATCATGTGTTGTGTCGCAGAGTTGTGTACCCAACGCTTCGTTACACTGCTACNGAGGTGCTTGATTCTTTCTCCATGAAGCATTTTGCTCGATTAGCCTGTCTGTCCGCTCTCTGGTATTGTTCCCTAAGGGGCTATCAAGTTCTCAAAGAAAGATAGAAAAGAATCATGTTGAGGTTTTGATAGCCGACCGGTTTTGAAAGACTCAGTTATGATCTTCTCAAAATCACAAAGAGCCTTGAGACTGAATGAAGCGGTGAAATCCTTCTTTGCCCATTCCTGAAGGACTCGCTGTTGCTCTGAAGAAATGGGGGTAGCTGAAGAATGTTTTGAAGATTTCAACCGTGTCTCAAGCCGTCCAAGTGCTTCAAAAAGTCTAGGCATCTTAGCAGGGTTTAGAGATACGAAAGAAGGAGGATCCTGCACTGCAGCTTCCTCTAATGGAGGAATGCCCATTGAGGGGGCAATTTCTGCCTGCCCGATCTGCTCAATTCCAGAAGGGGGAATCGCAGTACCCTCCAGAGGGTGAGTGAAGATGGGAGCGCTTTGATTTACGGACCAAATGGGGGGGGAAGTTTCTCTTGGAGCTTGCTGCAGAAAGCCAAAAGACCAGGTCAAGACAATTTGAATACAGTTTGAGGCGAAAGAGGATTTGGAGAGATGAAGTGTACCTGACTCAGTCCTGGGGTTTCACCAGGAAGAGGACTAATTCCTGGTTGGTGGGAAGATTCCTCACCACCAGCAGGAGTGTGATGAGCTGCACCTGAACCTGTACCAGTGCCCTAGAGGTACCCAGAGATAGCAGTAATTGTCAGTAAATAGAGCATAAGAGAAAAAACAAGAAGAAAATACTCTCATACCTGAGTTTGGTCTTGAGGATGAGAATGAGGTTTATCAACTGTCGGGCAAGCGAATACCCGCGAAATTGCTACCTCTGAAGCTACAGGGATCTCAGGGACTATGGGTTCATTATCTGAAACCCCTATTGAAGGGGGTGGCTCATATACCGGAGAAGGCTGTAGAGAACGTGATTAAAAGTTAGTTGGGAAGCAATGTACAGAATTTCAATATGGAATATGTGACTCACCAAGTTACTGTCCTCATCCACGAAGTGCAACATAACTCCTGTAGATGGATCAAATTGAGAAGAATGGGTTGCATCCAGAGCAGTAGAAGAAGTCATAGACCTCAGAGGAGGGCCATGACAAGGCAAGGAAGCAGATGCTCCAGCCTAAAAATATTCAGACATTAGGTCCAGAAGTTAGAGAGTTATCCAAGAATTAGAAGAAAAGAAAAAACACCTCTGAAATGTCAACCTGGGAGGGAGATAGGCTTGTCTCTCGGGCAAATTGCGAAGAGAGTTTTTCCTTTCTTGCGGCCTGAGTCAAATATTCAGATTTAGAGTTATATGAGAGCAAGAAGAGGCCTAAAGAAAAATATATATATCATACCTCAAGTTCTCTGAGGGTAGTATTTTGCAGTTCTTCGGCCTTTTTGAGCATTGCAGCTCTCAGTGGTTCCTCCTTAGAAGCAAGGATTGGTCTTTTAGATGCTTAGGGTCCTGTTTGTCGGTAAAGGAGACAATTAGATAAGGGAGAAAGGTAACAGTTTGATAAAGAAAAACAGAAACTCACTTGAGGATTGTTGCTTCTTTCTGCCTGCCTCAAGAACTGGAGCAGATGGGGCTGATGACTTAGGAGGAGCAGTAGTTCTTGCTCTCTTACTTTTTCTAGTAAGAGTTGGTCGTGTGGTTTTGGGTAGAGGTACTGGATCAGGATCTGAAGTCTTAGTCACAGCCGCTTTCTTTCGCTTAGGTGCTTTAATAATTGCCTCGGGTGTTTCTTCAGCTCCTGAATCCCCAAAGGATTCTGAAACATCTGCACCTTCCCCAACTTCTCGTCTCCCAGCCTCTGCGGCAGCTCCATGAAGAATTGCAGCATCAGCAGAGTCATCCTCGGATTCAATGACTTCCGATTCAACATCCACTGGAGCTGCAGAGTTCAGCAAAAGTAAGGATAGAAGGACTTCAGAAGGGAAACAAAATCAGATTGAAAGAGACGTACCTATCAGAAGTGACCGATTCTTCTCTTGGATCATCTCCTTCCAATTTTCAAGTTCGCCCGAGCCATGGTATGATTTAAGTGAAAGTTGGTTGAAAAGGCGATCGTGAGTCTCTTTCAAATCCCATCCATACTTCTTAGTCCATTTGTCTTCCCACCAAGAAGAGAAGAGCGAGGTGCATTCAAAGTTGAGAATGATGGACTTTCAGGCCGCTTGACTCATTACGTCAAGACTGCGTCGGGCAGCTCAGAATGTCACTTCAGATGGAGTTGGTAACCGGAATGAAGTGCCGCAATGGACAGAGTCGAAGAACGGGACATGAATGGCCTGTCTAAATCCTAACTGCCTGCTGCAAAAGTTAGGATGGTACACTTCCAAGCCTCTGTCATATCTATTCCCCCGAACTCCCCAGGCCAGGTCTCTCGGTTGAATGCAACTAATAAATTTCTCCCTGCAAAAGGAGGCAGCATCCTCGCCAGGGGCATCTTGAAAGACTTGGTCAGAAAACCAAGGATATCTTCTCAAGACCGACGCACCCCATTCTAAATCTGATCGAGTCCTACAAACTCTGAAGAAGTAGAAGCAGGCAAAGGTGGAATGATCTATAGGGGCAGCTTCAGCCAGGATTCGAGCAGGGGCCACACCCTCCGGGAACTCCAGATTAGCAGCCCGAAATTCTGGAAAGTACCATTGAAGCCAAGTTTGTATCATCCATATAGGCCCATTCAAGTTGGTATCAAATGGCTCGCCTTGAGTCATTTCGAAAAGAAGATGATAAATATGGGAAATGAAGAATGGACCTGTAGCTACGTCATCAAAGTTATGAAGAGCTTCTACTAAGGGGGTCCATTCAACCCTCACCCCTTTAGATTTGTTGGGGAAGATGTGCTTGTTGAGCCAGTATAAGAGAAAATACATGTGCTCCTGATCTTTATCAACTCGAGGTGAGCCCACCCCAAAATTCTCCTTTACGAAAGGGATGAATCCTTTGAAGGAGGTCCCATAACTCTTGAAAGTTGCAGAGTTATAGTTCAAAGAGAGGAAGGCAGTAGATGAACTTGAGCTTCCAGTGGTAGAGGACGGAACCCAGTCTTGAGTGACGTCCACTATCCTGCCCGAGGGCCTTAACCCAAAAACCTGAGCCATGTCAAGAATGGTGGGAGACATGGGGCCCATACGGAAATCAAAAGTATTCGTGCCCGAATTCCAGAAAATGAGGGTAGAAACAAGCAGTTCGGGCTTGGGAATAATAGAGGTCTTCGAAAGCATGATTAACTCATAAATACCATTACTCATCCATTTCCTCTTAAAAGTAGGCTCTAAATCATCAATCCATTGAGCCTAGGCAGGATCGTTCATCAGAGGAAAGCCTCGACGATATGATGACCATTTGGATGAAGAGATGCCCGACCTAGCCGAGTAGGGATTTGGGGAAAGCCAGTTATCTCTAGGCATGTTGCTTTCCACCACTGAAGGGACCCGAGAGATCCAGGCGGGACCCAATGATTGTACCCCATGCACCTCAAAGAAGAGCTCGGAATGCAGACCTACCCGAGGGCGATGCAGTCCATTGAGTAGACGACGCAGAGTGGCGATTCTTTCGCCAGATTCGTAGGAGGGTTGGGTTTGGCTAGATTCCGCAGTCATTTGATAAAGTTCGAGAAGGGAATACCAAGGAAGATGACGAGGGCGAAACCTTAGAGAATGATCTCTTACTGTGAATACAGGGGATGGAGGAGTTCAACTGCAAGGGATTCGTGGGTTTTATAAAGAGCTTTTTCAATCAATATTGGCGCTTGGAATTCCAGGCTAAATATTGATTGAAGGGGGCACTGTTTGGATCAAAACTTGAACTTTGGGCTCAAGAAAGGAGCTGGCCCGAAGGGAAAGACAGCCGAAGCCCAGTCAAAGCCCAGAAGGCAAAAATGGCGTTTTCTGACTTGGTGCAGCTCATGAAGACCACTTGCTTACCTACCCAAAAGCCAAGTGGTGCAGACTGATCAGCTACACAGCCCATAAAACACTTTATGGTGGCATTACATGTAAAATAGCTGATGAGTCATCACCCTCAAAATGCATTCGGGCAAGGCTGCTGCTACAGAAGGCCAAGCCGAGTTGTCTATATAAGAAGAAAGAAAAACCAGGAATAAGGACACTCAATCAAACAAACAAATGCAGAACAACTCCTCAAGCCAGATTTGCCTTCAAAACAAAGCTTGTGTCAGCCTCATCCCTCTCGGGACAAGCCTTCATCCTTCGCGGATAACCCTCTCTTCAAAACTTTGTATAGCAGCTACCTGTTCAACCTTGTTGTAGTATCGATTCATCTTTGTAATCTCTCTCTCTATCCCTCTAAGCTTTCAGACTCTTGACAAACTATAAAGATAGGAACCTACAAGACGAGCAGCCTTACCTGATAAGGTTTAACCTTGCCCGACCTTCTTGCTTTTTTTTTGTCTTTTCATTCATTAAGCCTAACAATATGTTGTATACTTCCAGTTATATGCAAGTTATTTCTAGCAATATGACTATTAAAAGGCTTTCTCAGTACTGAATCCGATTTGAATATATCTTCAGTGTTCAACCAGATCAAGTCCTAAGCCCCGGGCATGTAAATCTTAATTTAAAAGTCCTTGGCTCAAGCATAAAAAAGAACCTTATGTGACTTACCCATCCACGACAGTCCTTGATAAACGAGAAGTCCGAGTTACTTGGGGCGCAAGTAATCGCCTACCTTCTAGTTTATTCTATTCATATATGATTACCATAGAACGCTTGAGCAAGGAATGGATTCTGATGGAAGCCTCAAGCCTACACCTAAGGCCCCAGAAAGCATCCATTTGGATTCATTCCGTTCTCGATCTAGAGAGTTTGAGTAATAGATGAACTTGATGGGAAGCCTCAAGGCCTACACCTAAGGCCCACAAAGGCACATATTTGGGTTCATTCTACTTCTTGGACTCGGGTAACCAGAAGTACAATAGTTAGAAAACTCCTGCAATCACGAGAAGATTGATTGTGTTCGACACTGGTTTAGTTATTGATGGGGCCTCAAGGCTACACCTAAGGCCCACAAAGGCACCTGTTATAACTAACAC